TTCTTCTTTGGAGTCCATCTCTTCCCCTGTACTCCTTTTTCTTTTGACAGCCCCTCATTACTCCTTACTGCGTCAGCATACGATTTTGTTCCAAACGTAGCTTCCACTTGCTTGGACGGGCCTGCATTAGACTTGCTTTCCCTTTTCTTCATTCCTAGATCACCATTTTCCTCATTATACATTGCTAGATTTGCTTGGAGACTCCTGTCTCCCACTTTAATTTTGCACATGTTTAACTCCATCTCTCTTGGGTTTTTGAGAGAATTTAAACAATATTTGAATATTTGAAAATAAATATATGTAGTTCTCTTATTAATGAAATAAAAACTCAATTTAAATAATGAGTAGAAGAGGATTTAATTTAACATAAAATTCAATTTTAAATGCACAATATTGTAGTGTATTTAAATAATGTATTTTCAAATACATGTAATTCAAATTCATTTTTCTTTATTTAATCCAAACAATGCATTTTAAAATGCATGCGTTTAAAATATATGTTTTTTAAATACATGTATTAAAATACATACCTTAAATACAAATACATGTTCCCAATAGAGGTGGCAAACAAGCGGGTTGGGTCGGATTTGGATTGGGTCTCCTCAAGCCAAAGGTTTTATGAGTTGAGTTATATATGGGTTGCGGATTAACAAATGTTGACCCTAACCCAACCCTAACGAGTTTCGGGTTAAACTATAGTAACTTGATATGATTTTTTTTTTTATGATAATTTTGCTTCTCTATTTGATTAGTTTAAGCAAAATGACTTATTTTTTGTGGAATATTTTGAATAATTCTTTTTTTTTTTGTTTTCCTTTATTAGTAATTATATATAGTATACAATACTTGATTTGTAAATCTAAATGAATATAATCAACTTCATTTAAAAAGTTTTATAAATTGTAATAGCCACCATCATATTAGATTTCTTTTAAATTATATTTGTTAGTTATTTTGCCTTAAAAAATTATCTTATAAAAATATATTTCTTAAAATTTTAAAAACAAACAAGTTAAATGGGTCAACCCGTGAACCATAGGTTAACCCATGTTTGACTCATGACCCATTCGGGTTAACCCGAACAAGTCATGGGTCCAATACTACTTGACCCTAATTTGCTTTTTACAGATTAGGTTAAGATTGAGTTAATGGATTGGGTGTGATTTTTCTACCTTTAGTTCCCAAATACAATCTTATAGAACTAATTCCATAAAAGACATGGCTTTAAATATATATAATTAAAGGAAAAGTATTGTGCAATTTAGGTTATACCAAACTACACAAGATCACTATTAGATAGAAACAAACCCCTGTATTAGAACTTTCTCCCATCCAATAACCCTTGCTTTGCAATTTAGTATGATCTAAACTATAAAACAGAAGATTCCTAATTAAAAAAACTCATAATAAATTATCTATTATATATGTGACTTGAGTTAAACCTATGAGCATATTTATACATTTATTTATGCAAGTACCTTGCTTTCGATGAAGGGCGCCATAACAAGATGATATATATATTCAAAGATTTGCATGCCAATTTTTCTGAAAACGAGACAAGTGGAGAGGGGGCCATGGAATGGAAGTGGCAAAGACATGATGATGAGTTTACCTGGCAATAAATAAGAAAAGGAAAGGCACATTGGACTATGTTATGTTTATAATTAAGAGGTAATTATAAACAAATAAATGGTACTATGGCATGCATGATGGTGTTTCCCCACATAAACCCGAGAATCGAAACACAGCGACGTGGGCTTGTAGGACATTCACTTACTTAGGGCATGTGCCCCCCACCCTCCCTGCAACTGTACGATCTCTCACTTGTCAAATATCCCTTCTTAATTCCTCCCCTTGAAGGATACCCCCTTCAATTCAGCCTCTTTTTAAATTTTAGTTTTAATTTATAAATGATTTAAATTTTAAATAATGGCGGCTGTTATCTCTCCGTGGAAAGCTGCTTTTCTTTCCAGCCCATCAAACATGGTCTTGAGAAAACAAAGGAAAATTCAAGGGACTTTTCAAGGAATTAAGGTCAATTAAAAATTCTTATTGGCAATATTGATAGGGGAATGTTTGTTGGTTTACTTTTTGTGTATAGGAGGAACTGTTGGAGTTCTAAATAAAAGAAGCAATAAAAGATGGGGAGGCGTGGCCTTTGGTGGCAGTGCATGGGCACGGAATGACTTAAGCTTGGAGTAAAAGCTTGAAGGCCAAACAGACTTGATGGGGATATCTTTCTACTCTATATCACCATCAAGTGGGCACTCCATTTCATCTCTCTCTCTCTGTGTTTGCCCTTCGCATCTCCCAAATTTAAGAACTCAATGTAAGCACAAAATCTATTACATTAATTTATATATTGTCATATATTGTTATGTTAGTAGTTCAGTGATAATTTCTAATCTATAACAACAAGTGATTTTGAATTCAAATTGTATGTCATGTGAGTGAATTGGATTAAGAAATGAGAGGATTAGGAAATGAGAGAAAACTCTCTCTATAACCCAAGATTAAAAAAAAAAAATTATACGATTACCATTGGTTAGTGCTGCCATTTGCCAATTAATTAAAATAAGATTTTATTAATGGTTATCATACATATGAAATTAATAATTCTTGCAATCTTAACTCCAATAGTCATATAATATTAAATAAGTGGATTTATATATTTTTCTTCATCTCAAATTGCACAATAGGAATCAATTCTCATTTTCATCCTTTAACCCATACCCTATTTACTTGTCATATGACTCAAATTTAAAATTTTTTATTTTTGGTGAAAAAATTACCACTTTGAATGTAATTAATAATTTAATTATTTGTATAAGTTAATGAAATTAATTTTATATTAAATGGGACCCACTTCTTTAATCACAAGGAAACAATTTCTAAGTGAGTCCCACTCTTAATAATATTTAAGGAATATATTTACTTGGAACGCTACGTGCATCTCAATCAACAAAATATTTATTTTCAAAATTTTTCACATAAGCAAAATAATTGCTAAGTAAATTCAATGGAGTTAGTTCAAGTGGTTATAGAGTTATTCAAAAGAAAAATGATTTGTACACTCTCGGATTTGATACATCTTTCAACACCTCTTGGTTTAGCCATTAAAAATATAAGATAATGATTGGTACATCCTTCGGTTCAACATACTTCACAACACACATTAAAAAAATTTTATTTTAAATTTGAATTAAATGCATGAAAGCTCAAAATTGCAGATTTTAATGGTTGAACCGATAGGGGTTGGCGAGTGTGTTGAACTAAAGAATGTACAAATAATTTTTCTAAAATATAATATAAGTACAACTAATTCAGCTAGTTCCTAAATTTGTATGCATTGTTGCATATTTAAGTTTATCTGCATTTAATTTTAAACAAAAAAAATAATTATTCTTTAATGAATATATTATGTAGTGTATTGAATTGGAGAGTGTGCCAATCAATGCTTTATTTGAATAATGTTGAAAATGCAAGTTCAAATCCTTCTAAACACCATTTGAATGCAAACAATTTTAATGGGTCACGCTTACCATCTCTAAAGGTTAAACCTTACTCAATACTTGTGGACGGGGTGGTATACAAGTACCTATAGGATTAGTCAAGCCAAAGGCTTAGATACCCATGTTATCAAAAAAAAAAAAACAACTAGTTGTTGAATAAGTTTTTGCTATTTCTACCTAATTTCTATGTAACATTTAAAAATTAGAAAAATGAATTATTTAACGGCAAGTTGCACCACTTATGCTAGAAATACTTAACAAAAGACCAAAAAAGAGCTAGAAAAACAAACTTTAGGGATCAAAAAAGGGATTTTTCAGGTTAAGAGTCCAAATCGTGGGTCTATACAAAAGTTAAGGGATAAAAATGAGGGTTTAACCTTAAATATAAAATAACTAACTTAGCCAACTTAAAGCCAACAATCTAAGTGGTCCAATGGTAATCTTCTTCTAATGTAAGTAAGCGATTTTGCGTATACATGTGGTTAAGGTGAGTAAAGTGACAATAAATGGTTATTTCTTATTGTACAATTCAAGATTAGAAAAAAAAAAAAAAAGGGAAACAGAAACTCATCTAACTTAAAGGTTAAAGTTTTTTTATGAGAACAAAGGTGGAAGGATTAAGTTAAGTCTCTTCGTAGTTATGGTTCCCTATGTTGCATATATGTATCCCCCCATCTCTTGAGTGGGGGGTAGGTTAGCTTCTCTTGACCAGGCAAGTGTTGTCCTACTAATAGTGTAGATTCTTACTTCCTTTCTTCCTCTTTTCTCTTGTGGTGTTGTGGTGATTGTGTGAAGATGTTAGAAGGGATAGAAGGGGAATTAGTGATAGGTACTCTAGTGGTTTGACGAAGTGGTGATTGAGCGGGAATTGAGCGAAGGTATGGCTCCTTAGTTTGTGCTGGTGGCTCACCATGCTCAACCATGGTATTATTCACATAGATCCACCGAGGTGGAGATCAATATGGCATATAGGTTGGCCAAATAAGGGAATATATGTTGTGATAGAAAGATCAACAATTATAGGAGGATGCTTGAGAAGAGGCAAGAGATTAGAGGGAGGATGCTGGCAGTAAGGCTACGGACAAGATTGACGACCTTTTCTCTCTTACTCAGCCTGTTTATTTTGTCTCGATATTTTCTATAAAAAATTTAAAATTCTCACACCAACATAAGTTGATATTAATTCTTGGAATTTAATTACTTTGAAGACCAATTATAATTTATAATAGTCTAGGTGAATTTTTTTGTGTATATTCCCAATTGAAGAATTGAGGGTTCCCCAAAATTCCTCTTACCCACTACTAATGACTTAGGGCTAAATTTAATATTTGCATATTTGAACCATTAATTCATTATCACTTGGGTGTAGAAAGTTTATTTTTGTCCAATCAATTTTGAAAATTTAAAATGCATAAATAGATAGTTTATCTATAAAAAATTTATAAGTTTTTCTAACAAAATTCCACGATAGGGCTTATGTAGTAGTACTTAGAAGTGATAATTAGAAAATTAAAAGAAATATTATCAATTGTTTAAAATACCATTAGTCATAAGAAAAGTGTATTGGCACCCCAACAAACCAATACTGGATCACATATCGTTCTTATATATGCTAGTAGGGATAAAAGAAATCACCTATGAGGACAATCCTTTCTATCACCCTTAACAAAAAATAGCTGAAAACATTGTTTTAAAGTTTGGCTCGGTAATCAATTCGTTTTGGTCACTAAATCTGGTTCAATCAATTAAACTAGTTTAATCAACTGAGTCAACTAGTCAACTTAATAAATATAATTTATTTTATT